TTTTTTATTTTATTTTATTTTATTTACTTTTCCAACTTTGATCTTCTTTGTGAGCACTCAACATTCACTCACTCAACATTTTCACAGAAAATCCATTTTGTCCAGTTTGATTAGATAGTTGAGCTTACAGCTAAGACCAAGACTGTCTTTGTGTCCTTGCTTGGACTAGCCATTTGCTCATCTGRTTCATTAAACTCTGTTTTATAAACAGATGTTCAAAGACTTTATCTACAATAAATGAGCTATTCAATCAGAACTCTACTTAAAACTAACTGAACTATCTCTTTAATATATAAAACTACAGTGGTGTACTTCAAAGCTGAAGGAAATCTCCAGGTTTCCCATGTGACCAATTTATTTACTCCACAACTGGAATGTTTTTTTCTTTAATGAGCACAAAACTTGTCTTTATTTGGAGATGTAAGCCAGTGGAATAAGTTGTGTTTTAAACGTTTTTCATTGGTGAAATCTTCACATAAACACAAAAAATGCTCACTTACACTTTTTTATCCGATGTTGACGACGAAAAACTGATAAACTGAAAACACGTTTTTGATCCAGAGTCTTAAAACCTGGCATGTGGAGCTGGAAATGCTATCTAAAATAACAAAGGAGGTGATGAAGAAAGGTTGTTCTGGCTTTTTATTATTATTATTATTTTTAACAAAGGCAGATCTGGATTTTTTTATTTGTCTTTTTATTTATTTTTTGCTTATGTGTATGCCTGTGTATATTTGCACAAAGAACAGTTTCACATCTGGAGCAGTCGTCACAGCAATCACGGTTGAGGAGATGTTTGAGTGAGATTTGTTTGACTCTAAGAATGGAGGGCCAGCAAGTTAAGCTTTGAGAATAACCCCGTGGAGACACCGACACCAGATTTGGCTCAGGAAGAATGGGCTCAAATACCTCATCAACACTCCTCATTACTAAAAGTGCCAAATGAGTTCACTGCAGACTGAACCCATTCATCATGCCTTTTAATGGACAATTGGACTGGAACACACTCATTTTGTAATCAAGGAAAGGCTTCAGCTACTCTGGCAGAAAGAAGAGTTCATTTGTTTTTACAGATCAAAACTGGGAAGTTCATCTTGTGAAAAAAATATTTTTGCTTTCGTGGATTCAACTGATCTGGTTAAAGGGGACAAAGTGTTCATGATGTGCACCACTCTTTGGAGGGAGAGTTCCCTGAAAAGAATTAGCATCTTACCTGTTGTAGATAGCTCTAAGGTGGGTTCTGGAAGGACAGACGAGCGAAAAGCTGGTCTGAGCGAGGAAGTGGATTGCTGCCTTTTCCATTGCCACAAACTTTGTATCGCATAGCAGAAATATTATTATTTTACTGGACAGGAAGTGCTACAGCTAGCTGTTGCTGCCATGCGGTTGCAAACAACCACATAATTCTATCTAAATACCCAAAACATAGTGCAACATATAGTTTCAAATACAGATAATCTCTCTGGCAGTGGATCAGCAGACAATATATTTTCTACCTTTGTTGTCATATTGATGAGATTTTGGGTCATACAGTCTTTAAACTTTTCCTTATAAATTTTTATACTTTTTAAATATTGTGCTACAACTAAACTAAAAAAGATGTTAAAAAATATTAAAGAAGAGCTGCTAAGGAAATTTTACACGTAAAAATGTTGACCCTTCAACTCTAGCATTGGTGTCTAGTCGCTGCTGGAGTTGGGGTCATAATAAAGAAAGCCTGGATTTTGCTGTAAGTTGTACACTACTTGTTTGTTTTGCACATGAATGTTTGTAAAGCAGTATTTGCTTAAACTGCTTTAAATTTTTATGACATAGGATCTGTTTTCATTTCACAGACTAGAAATTAGCTCATCAGTCCCACCAGAAATAAACTCCTTTATTTTTTTTAAACTGGGGTCATTGAAAGAGCTATCTATAACAGGTAAGATATTACTTGTTCGCAAAATTTGAACTGGTTAAAATCATGGGATAAATGTTTATTAAAATAACAATAAACAGAGGTCTTGGTAGATGTTTTTTTCATTATCTTTAAACTCTGCTGAGCACCTTATCAACTATAAAATCACACACATCTATCAAACTTAATTAAAACTGGTCTCTCTTTGAATCCAGAGACAACAGTGCTTTAGTTCCTCACAAAAAAAACAGCAAACATCTGCAAGATAAAGCACGTCATGTTTAGATTGGTTTTCTTTTTTCTCTTGCTTTACTCAGACATGCTTTCCTCTGTGGTTAGTTTGAAACAATAAGAAACAAATCTCTAACAAACATTGCAGTCTTCTCAGCAGGAATTCCCACGACTGTCTCATAATGGTACTGTGTTTTAAAAAAAACAATAACAAAAAATATAATTTTCTTCACTTCTCATTGAATCGGGGCACCAGGGAGGAGTGCAAATACACAGAAAAGGAACCGAGTGATTTATACCTACTGACTGACACCCAGCTGTTACAATCACCAGAGCCAAGTCTCAGCAAGCAGAGCTCAATTAGCCTACAGGAACTAATCAAACAGCTACAAAATGTTCACTGCTATAATAGATAAAGACATCACAGCGTGAACAGTTAACATCTGTATTTTATTAACACTGAAGTGAAAATCTCAAAAGCTAAATGATCCTGAATCATGAAAGGAAGTGTGTCATTTTCAAAATATTGGTTCATGAATTCTGTGAGCGACTGGGTAGAACTCTTAGGTGCAAAGTGTGAATAAAACACAATGGGTCATTGTTTGAAGAGAGTAGAGAGAGAGAGAGAGAGAGAGAGAGAGAGAGAGAGAGAGAGAGAGAGAGAGAGAGAGAGAGAGCATGTCAGAAGTTCACTGAGAGGAGAAGAAATATTATTCTGATGATCCCACTCAGTCCACTGAATCACAGACTGAGTCATGGGAAACACAGTCAGAACTCGACACCTGTTGGTGAAGCGGGCCTGCGGACAGACTTCACACAGTGCTTCTGAGCAAAAGAACACTGCTGCTGGTGCTGCTCCCCACAGACAGAGCTCATATGACCAGACTGCTCAGCCCAGAGGATGGTCGAGCTAAAGCTGTTAGTGCTGACATCAGGACAGCTATCAGTCCAGACTTTCACTGCAACAAAACGTGCATTGCTCTCCATCTTTCATGTCGAAATATTRAAGGACCTCACTTGATTTGTTCGCACTCCGAGTGTGTGATGGACATGACTCTCAGCTACYATCACACCAAATCTAAACTCAAAAGCTATAAAATGAGCAGAAATATAGCTGTTTTTGTGCTCGCTTTGATCACGTAGCTGCAGTAGCCAATCAGGATGAGTCTAAAAGTTAATGAGTTGTAGATCCAGTGATTACTCTGAGAGTTTCATTAAAGTCTGTTGGGGGGATTATGAGATATTTTGCTACACATACATACACAGACAAACACGAGTAAT